AGATGTTAAAACGCAGGAGATCTCTTGTACTCTCTCACCACACGGCAAGCATAAGAGCTTATTTCTACCCAAAGTCAACGGGGTGTCTCTTACAACAGAACCCAATTGCCTTATTTGGTAAAAGGATTGTATAAAGGCAGGAACTAGCCACGTACTCTGAACGCATTCCTGAGGGAGGGCGGAAATCGAAGGAGGGAGACTTATCTGGGAGTTTAAGAGAAATACCAAAATGCAGAAGTTTGGAGCAAAATGGAGAACCGTGCCCCTCCCTGTGTGCATGATTGTTACAGGAGGGACAGGTAAGAGTCTGTATTTTAAAAGCCAGCAGCTACAGTTTTTGTAGCTGCTGACTTTTCTTCAGCTGGAACTCTGCTTTAAGCTCAATTTCAGGCAAAACATTTAGGATTTTGGTAGATCTGGGAAGAATAATGAATTCTGTCAAGTTTTTATTTCTGTCTGTGACATTCAGTAGGATAACAAAGAAAGCAGTGGTCACTGGGATAGGAAGATAAAATACCCTGACAGAGTTTCTTCTATCCCCCTCATATTTAAAAAAAAATATATATATATTTTGGTACAGTCTGTGTCCTTAGAGGGCTGAGTAAATAGATACAAAATTTGTCAAGCCTCAAAACTGTGTATGCTTGTGCAATGGCGAAAAACAATGGTACCAACAATTGCCTATCAGTGATGTTTTACAAAACTTTATAGCTCATCATTTCAGAGTTGACCATGAACGATGGCCCTAGAATTATCACCCCAACTTCCAAAGTGACACTCCAGCAGTATGTTATGGTGCATTGGTGTCTGGGATCTTTTTCTTTTAATAATTCTTTTTATTTTGTCTTGTGTTAACAAATCTGAAATGTTTTTTTATACATATTTTTTTTTTGTTATTTGTTTTAAAACAGGAAAGTGGCACTTAGGTGTAAATTGTGAATCACGGAATGACTTTTGCCACCATCCACTAAACCATGGCTTTGATTATTTTTTTGGTACTCCTTTTACTCTTATTAATGATTGTGAAGCCTCAAGACCAAGTGAAATGCTATTGAATCCAAAGAAAAAATTGAAGTTTTATGCACAGATATTCACTATCACTCTGCTTACACTACTAGTTATCAAACTATTACATCTAATCACTATTCCCTGGAAACTTTTTATTTTTGCATTTTTTGGCTCAATTTACTTCCTGTATTGGTATGTAGCACTTGCATTTCTACCACACTGGAACTGTATATTAATGAGAAATTTGGACATTGTCGAACAACCAATGGATCTGGAACTAAAAGTTAGCCAGGTAGTTGAGGAGTCCAAAGCATTTATTTCCAGGTAAGGATAAATATCTTACTTTTATAGAACAGCACCAATATAGGTTTCAGAGGTTTATATTTAAGTGAACTGTGCTTTGTCCATGCAAGGCAAAGCAACAGGCTCATTTTAATGGTGGCACCTTAAGCTGCAAATCCTACCTTTCTTTTTGCTTTTTTTTTCTTCTCCTCCATTTAGCTGTCATTAATGTGGAAGTGTTTGCCCTGTGTAGGCTTTAAGCTTGAGCTTATGCAGGCCTTAGAAATCTCTCCCCTAACCCATGTGACAGCCCTAGGGGGTCTGCTGAGCCTATCATCTCTCACATGCTACCCCATGCCTGGAAATTATGGGTAGATTTAATTCACTCCAAATCATGAGAAGGTGTGTATACGCTGTTGGTGTGGCTGTCCTCCATAGACAAAACAGTTTGCTTTAGATCCAGGTAAAATATTGTCTCCTGCAGAATAGCCCCACGAAAATTACAGAATGTAAGAAAGGTGCCAAATGAGTTTAAATCACTCTCGCTTTCAGATTTAAACACCTGAATTCAGTCTGTATTCAACAATTTAAAGGGCTCTTAATTACATTGAAACCACTTCCAAAAGTAAACCATTGCTTCTCCATGTAAAGAAAAGCAGTATGTTCATTTAAATGGTAGCTTCCCCAAGTTACTATCCTTTTTTCTTTGACACTGCTCAGTTTACCTGCAGAAGTTTTAAGAGAAGAAGTCCTATGTAAGCTCCAAGTTGCTCTGATCAGAGTTTGGACCAGGCTAAGGACCGTACTAGAGCTTGGAAATTGGCACTTGGGCACCCTATCTTGGGAGGGAGGGGAGAGAGTCACATGTTCCACATTCCTCATACATTCTTATAGCCCTAAGCATAGCAAATAAAGAAATGTTATACAAAACTAGATGCAAGCCCTTCAAGGTGCTTTGCCAGGTAGCACCATATCCTACCTAAAGGAAACACAAATGTTGAATGTTAGACTTGGGGAATCCAAAGCTTGCATAGGGAAAATTTAGCTTTCTTGCTTAGTGTCCACCATTAGAAAAAAGTAGCATGGATAGTACAGTGAAGTGAATCCATCCATGAAATGTGCAAACTGGGCAAACCTGATTTTCTTTGATTTCTGTGTTGTCTAGTTCTCCTGAATATTTGCATTCAGGTTTCCAAATTGTGGACAATCATGTGGTTTATAAATCCAGGAAATCAGGATTCATGGAATATATGACTCTCCGTGGATCGGGTAAATCAGTATATACGTATTCAGAAAAAGGCCATCAGTTTTCCTCTGAAGGTCTTGGTGATTTGACAACACATGACACATACAAAAATGCCTCATTTGCAATTTCGAAGCTTGATATAACTTTCTTGCTTCCAAGAGTACATGCACACGGCTGTAAAAAAAATGACTGATCAACTACATATGATCTTGCTGGCAGAATGATCCTGTTAAAAAAAAAAGCATAAAATGGTATGTAGATGTATAAAATTCAGTTTCTTTTCCATTTGATTAAATGTCTGTTTGAACTCATGTATACATGCACATACACTATAGTGCTATAAGTATTGGGATGCCTGCCTTTACATGCACATGAACTTTAAGGGCATCCCAGTCTTAGTCTGTAGGGTTCAGTGTTGAGTTGGCCCACCCTTTGCAGCTATAACAGCTTCAACTCTTCTGGGAAGGCTGTCTACAAGGTTTAGGTGTGTCTATGGGAATGTTTGACACTTCTTCCAGAAGTGCATTTGTGAGGTCAGGCACTGATGTAAGATGAGAAGACCTGGCACGCAGTCTCCGCTCTAATTCATCCCAAAGGTGTTCTATTGGGGGTTGAGGTCAAGACTTTCTGCAGGCCAGTCAAGTTCCTGCTCCTCAAACTTGCTCATCCATGTCTTTATGGACTTTGATTTGTGCACTGGTGCGCAGTCATATTGGAACAGGAAGGGGCCATCCCTAAACTGTTCCCACAAAGCTGGGAGCATGAAATAGTCCAAGATGTCTTGGAATGCTGATGCCTTAAGAGTTCCCTTCACTGGAACTAAGGGGCCAAGCCCAACCCCTGAAAAACAACCCCACACCATAATCCCCCCCTCCACCAAACTTTACACTTGGCACAATGCAGTCAGGCAAGTACTGTTCTCCTGGCAAACACCAAACCCGGACACGTTCATTGGATTGCCAAACAGAGAAGCGTGATTCGTCACTCCAGAGAACACGTCTCCACTGCTCTAGAGTCCAGTGGCGGCGCGGTTTACACCACTGCATCTGCCGCTTTGCATTGCACTTGATGTAACGCTTGGATGCAGCTGCTTTGCCATGGAAACCCATTCCATAAAGCTCTCTACATACTGTTATTGTGCTAATCTGAAGGCCACACAAAGTTTAGAGGTCTTTAGCTATTGACTGCAGACAGTTGGCGACTTCTGCTCACTGTGCATGCGCTGACCCCGCTCTGTCATTTCACATGGACTAACACTTCGTGGATGAGTTGCTGTTGTTCCCAGTTGCTTCCACTTTGTTATAACACCACTAACAGTTGACTGTGGAATATTTTAGTAGCAAGGACATTTTTACGGATGGACTTATTGCACAGGTGGCAACCTATCATGGTACCATGCTTGATTTCACTGAGCTCCTGAGAGTGACCCATTCTTTCACAAATGTTTGTAGAAGCAGTCTGCATGACTAGGTGCTTGATTTTATACAACTCTGGCCATGGAGGTGATTGGAACACCTGAATCCAATAATTTGGCAGCACAGTGGCTAAATGGTTTGCACTTCCACCAGTCAGTACTATGGGTATTGGTTTGAGTCCCAACCATGGCACCACCTGCCTGGCATTTGATTGATCTCCCTGTGCCTGCGTGGTTTTCCTCCGGTACTCTAGTTTCCTCCCACACTCCAAAGACATGCTGGTAGGATAATAGGGACGGATGTGAATGTACAGTGTGTGTGTGTATGTATATATGAATGTGTGTGTGTGTATATGTATATATATATATATATATATATATATGTATATATATATATATATATATATATATATATATATATATATATATATATATATATATGTGTGTGTGTGTGTGTGTGTGTGTGTGTGTGTGTGTGTGTGTGTGTGTGTGTGTAATGTGTATTTATATATGTGTGTGTAATGTGTGTGTATGTATATATATATATATATATATATATATATATATATGTGTATATGTATATATATATATATATGTGTGTGTGTACCTGTAATTAATAATGATGATCTAAACAAAACAAAAAGGGGTTAACATCTGGGGCGGTCAAAGGGTTAACTGTGTGCTGTGTGTGTTTTTGCATAGTGTGCTATGTGTGATTTACTAGGGAGACAAACTGCTTTAAAGTTGCCTGTTCGTGCTGACAGGGCAGGGATCTGTAATGTTTACATACAGACCTCTCCCCTATCAGCTCCAACTGAGTCAAGGCCGATCGGTGATTGACATGTCGGTGATTTACGTGTCGAGGAGCCAATAGTGGCGCGGGCAGGGAGCACGTGCGTGCCCCCTACCCGGAAAAAAAAAAAATCACGTATATATACGTGATTTTATGCATCCTTGTCGCCCTGTAGCAGTACTTCTGCTATTGGGCGATCGGGAAGCAGTTAATAAATGTCCTCCCAAAGTCCACTTATATATAAAAGTGCCGGTGCTGTAAACAATATACTGTGATCAGTCTTCTGTGCAAACCAGTAAAGCGCTTTTCCAAATGACTTCGCTTGCTGTTCTTTATTTTCTCCAAACCTGTGACCCACAATACCCCAGGGGCGGACTGACCATTTAAGCACTCGGGCACTGCCCGAGGGCCCAGGGTCAGAAGGGGGCCCCCTAAAATGCCCCTGGTACCTTTTTTATAGGCTTTTTTGGGTGTGTTTTTGAGTATGGGCAAGGACATGGGCCCCATGATCCCCAATTGCCCGGGGGCCCCATGAGTTGTCAGTCCGCCCCTGCAATAACCAGAACATACCTGTGCTTATTTACCACTCCCCTTGTGAGTAGCACTTACCAAATAATGATGACCCCTTTTGTTGAAAAAGCAAGTCAGTAGTGCTTTACATAGGCTTTCCTTCAATCATACATGCTCCTCATATACTCCTCTGGGGGGTACCATTTATTTATTATTAATTTTCACCACTGCTTCCACTTCCAGTCACACCCAGGTTCAAGAGATCAAAGAGGAGACCCATAATAGTGTAATTCAATTCAATAACTCAAATAAAAAAACATTTCTGTACTTACATGGTTCATATGTTGATACAGCCTCTGTGATGTTCAATGGCACCTTCACTTCCTCATCAAAATTCCTGTGCTCCGCTGGCCAGAAGTGACATCAGAGGAGTGATGTCAAGAGTGTGGCTCTGCATTTTGTCCACTTGACATCTTCAGGGGAATGGTCTGAAGACTTCACATGGACTAAAAGCGTTGGGCAGAGCCACATTCTTCACATCACTTCCTTTGACATCACATCCAGCTAGTGGAGTGCACAGCCATATTGATGAGGAAGTGAAGGTGCTATTAAATATCACAGAGGCTGTATTGACATATGAGCCCTGCAAGCACAGAAATTGTACTTTATCTGTGGTGCATAGCAGCTTTGCATATATGGAGCCTTTAGATTATTATACCTTACCGCAGAGTTCCTTTATCATATAGCAGATATAGGCATGTGTCAATTTTCAGGGCACTGATGATACCAGCATCCTGCTTGTTTACATCTGTTGCAGGGTGGTGAATGACCTGGCCCGCAGCTGGCTGAACTAAAAAAGAGAGACCCTAGTTATAAAAACACTCGCTACTCTATCCAAAAAAAAAAGTTTTGGCTTCAGATGCACTTATGTTTGAAAAAGTAAAATGGACTAATGTATTGCCTTTTAGGAATAAAAACGGGCCCTTTCTGCTATTTGTATCTTTTCTACATACACACACTCCTTATTATACCACTGAGAGATTTAGAGGAAGAAGCAGACATGATTTGTATGGAGATAATATAGAGGAGATGGACTGGATGGTTGGTAAGTTAATTCCTGCCCTGTGTAAAGGAAATGTACAGTATATCCTTAATGATTTTTTACATATAGAAGAAGTCAGAGTAATTTAAAGTGTTACTAAACCCAGGACCCTGCATTCACTATATCTGTTCACCCACAGTACAAACAACATGGAAATGCAATTATTTTAGTAAATATAAACTGCTGAATACTTTTTTCCCATTAGCAGTTAGAGCAGTCTTGTGACTTCTATCAGTGTCCAGCCGAGCACTGGTTAAAGCTTGCAGGAAGAGTTTTTTCTTTATGCTCTAGGAGGATGCAAAACCCCTGACCTCTGTCTGTGCTGATTGGCCTTGTGCTGATCACATGCACTCTCCCAAGAAAGAGAAAAAAAACCTTTCTAGCCACCAAACTGAGCATGTGCAGAGTGTATCCACATAATATGTCTTATCCAGAGAAAAGAGGGAGACATGAAGGAGGGGAGGATCAGAGAAGTCAGGATCAAACTGCATTTTTACAGAGGATTAACCCCTTAGGTTCCACAGTGAGTATTACAAGCATGCTTTACTGCATATACAGACTAATTTTACTGTTGTAGGTTTAATAACACTTTAAATAGTCTTATTAATATGTTAATTTAAAAAAAAACTGTTTCTATGTGTAACTTTTATTTTTATGCTGTATGTACAGGAGGGTAGCCTTATTTACTCATTATAAATGCAGGCTCTGCTACAATGGTTGTTCATTGCTGTTCCATCTGAAAATGCATTTGTCCCCTCATACAGCAACTGAAAACAGAGAACTGGGCTGAAGGGCCAGTACTAATAATTTATGTTGGGTTGGTAGCCCTTAGTGGTAGAAATCTTTTCATTAGGTAGAAATAAACATAACATGCTAGAAACTAATCCAGCCATTACATCTGGTACACTGCCCTGCATTACATTTTTGTTTTGCAACATTAAATGCTAACTTTGGATATGAGTGGTTTAAATTCTTTTTTTTTTTTGGCCCTTAAAGGGGAAATTCTAAAAGCCATTGATGAAGAAGGGTTAGTGAATAACACGTTTACCTACTTTACGTCAGACCATGGGGCACATTTGGAAGGAATGGAAGGAAGTTCTCATCTAAAAGGCCACAATGGAATTTACAGAGGTAATAACTCATCCACTATCAGTCCTTATTTTCATTCTTTTTTTTATTGAAAAGATGCACTATACTGAAGCTACTGTAGTGATGTGATCTTACTTTGTCTCTTTAGTAAGTGTATCCAGTGACCTGCAGTGAAGTGTTTTTGTTTTGTCCTTTTAAGTTATGGCCATTGTGCCCAGGGGCGGACTGACAACTCATGGGGCCCCCGGGCAATAGGGGATCATGGGGCCCCTGTGTCCTTGCCCAAACTCAAAAAAGCCTATGAAAAAGGTACCAGGGGCATCTCATGGGGCCCCCCTACTGACCCAGGGCCCTCGGGCAGTGCCCGAGTTTCCAAATGGTCAGTCCGCCCCTGATTGTGCCCTATGCCCTGTGTGCTAAGGTCATCAAGTGTGACCTGCCTATTACAAGGTATCATTGGGTAAGTCCTATAGAAGAGCACATGGAAAGGGGGATGTTGCAATGCGGATCTCTATTCATGGAGCACAGACTGTATGTTAATGTAGCATCCCACAATGAGACATGCTTTGATTATTGTACAATGTATATTGTACAAATATTCCTGTTTGGAGAAAATTTGATAGATCGCTGGATGGTACTTGCTCCTAATATTTTAAGTGATATTAAAGGCAATTTTAAAAAAATCTGTGCAGTAGTTTTGCACAGAGCAGCCCTGATCCTCCTCTTCTGTGGTCCCCCCCCACCAGTGGTCCTGGCCCCTCCCTCCTGCCAAGTTCCCCCAGAGCAATCAGTTTGTTATGGGGACACTTAAGCAGGCTCGCTCCCGAGCTGTTGCTCTACCTGTCTATTCACACATGGAGCTGCTGCTCTGCCCCAGCCCTCTCTCTTACTGGCCATGATTGACAGCTGCTGTTTCAGCCAGTAAGGAGGCAGAGTGCCTGGAGAGCCAAGGTTCTCGTGCACATCGCTGGATCATGATGGGGCTCTGGTAAGTAAGTGGGGCTGGGGGGCTGCTGCACACAGAAGGTTTTTGTTTGTTTTTTTTACCTTCATAGAATGCATGAATGTAAAAATTATTGTGCCTTTACAACCACTTTAACTGCTTGCCTGGTTAAATCCACAAGACTCAGTTGAATGGAGGTACAGGCTCACAGGCTCTCAGATAAAGTGAACGTTATGCTCATTAATACCACATAGGTGGGGCCACAACTCATCAGCATGTAAGGGGGGGGGGGTTCCCTTTAGGCTATATTCATCATATCATGTGTCAAAATATAACCTATAATAATAAAAATATTACAGACTAAATATTGGACACAATTCTAACATTTTTGCGAATATTAAAAACCCCCTGCGCTGAATGTGCTCAAATATAACCTATAAATAAATAAAATATTATATTATTATTTATTTATAAATGACTAAGGAAGTGATGAAACGCATTAGATTGTGACTGTGCGGCGAGCAGAAGTGATGTCAGAAGCTGGAACCGGAAGTGACGCAGGAGCACCATTTTGAGCGGTTCAGCTGTTAGTGAGAGCACAACACTTACATCTGATGTCAATTCATTGGAATATGACAAGCATTTTTAATATTTACACTTTGTGGGAGTGGCTTTTTAAAGAACATTGAATAAAACCTAGAGGATTGGTTACTGTGCCATTGGAGAATATTTTTTATTCTTTCATGATGGTGATCTCTGTGGAGAGGAGTAAGGAGGTTTATGAAGTCTATGAAGTTCACACAGCGATACTTCAGTTGGAGATTTAACAAGCGATACCTGCCAGCCATGAGAGTGGGAGGCATGTTGGTCTGTTGAGTGCACACCCAAAACGGAATGTTGTCTCACAAGCACGTGGTGATTTTGGTTTGGGATACCAAGTAACAGGAAGATTGAAGCACTGAAAGTGACATTCACATTATTGTTTAACAGTAGTGGATGGATTTATATTTAAGTGTTCTTGCATGGCAAGACCGCTTACTGTTATCTCACATATATATTCTTATTATTATAGCCAATTTTACCACCCTAACTCCTCCCACAGTTTTTACACTACACAGACAGTAATATACCGAAACGTGCGGATTGTTTCCGATTGGTGTGCTATTACTTTGTGGAACGTTTTGCCGAATGTTTCACGAAATATCGGCGTTTTTGTGGTGAAATTGGTCCCATAGGAATGAATGGAGAAATGTTCAAAACTAGAGTGGGAGCTGACAAAAGCTAGAGTGTGAGCTGGAAAATCAGGACATGATCTCTAAACTGCCATCACTCCCTCATTTTCAAGCCCACCTACACAAATCGTATATCAAAACGTTCAGCTATCCCTGCTGCCACTAAAAATGTCCACGGCTAAGCCATAGTCCTCATAGTTTTCACAATATTACCATTTGTTTGCAACTCACGCCGCCTATTGACATTCATTGAAACTCCACTCTAGCCACCTCAAAGGGCAATTTCTAAACTGTGACTGTGCCTTTATTTTTAATATTTTCAGAGACATACTATACATCAAAGTGTAGGGCTGGGTCTGGTGTTTCTCACAATATAAAGCTCTTCGGTGTAGGATTTATAATTTTTAAACTACAACCGTTTGAAGATGGCAACCGCCAGTGAAGTGAGCAAGTTGGAGCAGTTTGTTTTTAACCGCTCTTCTCTGCCCTTGCTGTAGAGTGAGTTGCCATAGGAACCCAGGTGTGTGAGCAGGCAAGAACACTTCACACAATTTCCCCAGAAATTGTAGCTTTTCTAGTATTATGAATTATTTTCTGTAAGTTGTAGTTTTTATTTACTGTTCATAACATCACTGTTGATGGTGTTTTTGTACATTATTTGTTCACAGTGCCGCTATATAAGTTGTTTTTATATTCTCATCCCCTCTGGGTGTGTGTGTGGTGCTCAATAGACCAGACCTCTCACTATATTAGAAGAGGAGGAGCAGTTAAAGGATAAGTTTGCCTTTTTATAAATAATAAATGCACATTTTTTTGCAGGTATAAAAATGCACATTTATTATTTTTTGTTGCAGGAGCGAAGTGTTGATTCATCGAGAACTACTGTACAAGTTGACATCTGCATAGGATGTCGGTACTTGTAGTTCATTCATAGAACTCTGTGAATGAATGACATCGCCGTTGTTTTTAAAAAGTGACAGCTTGTACAGGGAACTTCTCCGTATACTCCAGTCACAGGGAGGGGGGATCAGGCAGCAGCTGAAGCATTGGGAACACATGTTACATGTTCCAGTCTAAAAACGGGTAGAACATGTAACATGTTCCCAAAGGTAAACTTATCCTTTAAGGGTCTCAGTCTGTATTTTGGCATGAAAAGAGGATAGAGTTATAGCATGTCCCTCTCTGGGGAAAAGGTATGCTTGGTCCTCAGGCCTAAAGAGGCATATTTTGTACTCTGTACTGATACTTGGTTAGCTCCACAGCAACCCCTCCTGTATAGTAAGTGGGGCTTTCAGAATTTGTATAGCCAGGATGTAGATCTACTTCCTTAAGCACCTTGGACTCTAATCTACCATAATTTGGGACTATTTTTGCGATGTGTACTGGACAGAAGCGTGGTGACGTCATATCAGCTGTGGACAGGCAGCCGCCATCTTGGTACTCCTGATCCTATACACCTTTCCTGTAGTTTTTTGCTGCAGTAATCTTGCCTGTATTGGTCTGCGGACCTTTTTTTAATGTGAGTAGTCATTTTGGGTGCTGTTTATAATAAAGTATTTGACATATTACACTATGGGAAGTCTTCTTGCTTAAATCTTCCATGTGGGGATACTGGAGGTGCTAGAGGTCTGCGGCCATATCTGAAGCTTTCCTGTGAGTGTTTACCAACATCACAAGAGAGAACCCCTCTTTCTTTGCTTGCTATCGAGGACCATCTATTAGGGATCATCATTTGAGGTTTTCTGTATGCTTTATGACTCCTTGTGGGTCGCATTTTGGATGTGAGCGCACACGCTAGCCGGTGGACAATGAATTATATATATATTTTCATCACTGGATGTCTTACGGCTTGTGTTGAAGATCCATTGTGTTCCTGTTTTTTTGGGACTGCTATTATTCTTTTTGGGATTTATTCACTGTATCACATTGTTTCTTTTAAACACATCCGTTTTTTATTGTTATTAATATCTTGTGTTCACTTAGTCACTGGCACATCATTAGCACACTGTGCTGCCTTTATTGATGTTTGATATTGTCTGCACCTATCCATGTTTTTTTGCATATGTTGTTTTCACACTTGGATGAGGGTCATATGTGCATTCATCTTCTGAGTCTATTAATTTATTTATTATTTATGTTATATTTTTCATGCACTGAGTAGAGCAGCACCAATTCACTTCTCTTATTGTTCTCGCTATTTTGGAATATAGCTAGGTGTCTGTGGCCACTTGGGGGTCATTATAGTTAGGTTGGTAGCCGAGGAGAACTGTTCCTACATTTTTTTTTTTTTACTGTACTGTATGCCAACCGCTTGTAACTAAGAGAAACTGTTGAACTATAATTTGTTTTTATATGCGCCTTGACAGAGACTACAAGTCCTTCTTATTGTCTTAATATTTAAGTGCAAGGAAACTTTGCAATGCTAAGGCAAGGAGAATGTGTGCACAGTCAAAGAAATACTTTAGTGTGCAAGTATAAACCTGATCAGCCACAGAGCCAGTGGTGGCTAGGGGAAGTGATTGTCCTCCTGGTGGTGTAGGTATAGCTCCTGTTTAGTATGTCATGTACCAGGTGACATGGGCCTTAGGCGTTCAATTAGATCATGAATCCCTAACCTGGAACCACAGTAGGTTGCAAGGCCTTGCACAAGAGTATCCCCAGGCACCTGGGGAGTTGCATGGGTCAAGGGACCTAGAAGACATGGTCTAGAGCCCACCATTGTACACACAGAGAGCAGCATTGTAGACTGCAGCAGGCATCTGAAATGGAACAGACTCCTAATTTCATTTTGGGGTGCCTTAGTTTACTGTAAGGCCCCGGTTGCATAGGACAACCATGACAGGCAGTTAGAGGGTGCTTACAAGTAGTCTGCAGAGGTTGTAAAAACTGCTACACTATCATGTAATAAAGAAGCTTGAAAGTGTTTGGGCTTGTATTTACATTATAATCCCATCTACAATATAGCATTAAGAGGACCTGAACTGAGGAAGCTGTGTCCAAAAATTATGGCTTGCTTGTAAGCTGGGGTGACTAACGTTTCTCTTTAAGCAACAGAGCAATTTGAGAGAGAGTGCTGTTCTTTCAGAGCCAAGAAAATTAACAGCATTGGGAGCCTCAAGGACCACACAATTCAGTGTGTCCAAGCTCACATGCAGCCCTTGTTCCCTGAGTGGTGGTTACAATGCTTTCATTTTTCTTAAGTCACATTCAATCTGTACAACAAACATTAACCCTTCAGTCTCCAGGCACACTCTGAGAGATCACCCACATCCTTTCTCAGAAGTCCAGTCCCTCATCACATGGTAAACCCAGTGGCAGAAAGATGCATCAACCTTTCTTGGTGTGACCTCTGTTATATGGTTGTATCACACCTCACCCTGTTATGCCAACACACAGTCTCCTAACTCTGCTCCCACAGGCTGTCAGAGCTTAGGCTCTTTGCTGATATTGCTGCTGGAGTAAGGCAGGCCATAGATTATGTAATTTTCTTTCTTGCAATCATGGGTTGTAGGAAAGAAAATCATTTGATTTTCCCCATCAACACAGTCAGTGTTGATGAGGAATCCCTCCCATAGAGGTATTGTGTTTTCCCCAGTGCCCCAGCGGGAGTATCTTTGATTGAATCTTGGCTGGTCCAACTGAGATTCAATCCATCTATGGACAGGCTGATTGTACCCAAGTCGATCCATTGATTGACTTGTGTACAACCTGCATATCACATTTTTAGCATGAGATTATTGCCAGTGGTTATAGCCGCTAGCAATAATCATTGTGTTCTTCAGGCAGTGATGGCTCCTTAGGATTGGCTTAAACCCTTTTATCCCCATAGGAAAGATGTTGCTTCTTCCTCTGCAGCAGCATCCCGAACTTCTTCCTCCAGTCAGGAGACAGGGCATAAGAAAATGGCTAAACACCTCCCCCAATTAAAGACCATTACTATGCAAATCTAGGGAAGAAGAAATTAATCCCATAAAGCCCCACTCCAGGCAAAATATGACTTCCCATGCTGTGAAATTGATATAATTACTTTTGCCAAATGTTAGCACAGTGCTTTTGTTTACATGTGTGAGTAAGCACCCCTCATAGCAGAGGACAAACTTCTACAACAGGCCCCACACCCAAAGGATAAGGAGGGAAGCTGATGTGTGCTTTGTGAGGCCTTATACATCGTGTTCCAGGCCTGGTCACTAAGAGGTTTCCATTACACAGTGGGTCCTAATATAGGGACCTTAACGCTTAGAATGGTGAACCATATGGCCGCCAGTCCAGCCCTCTGACAGAACCTTCATCACTGGCCACCACTGCCTCTTTTCCTAAGCTGGCTGCTCCTCCTTCCCTTTACTTCTTACTCTCCATCACCTGGAATGTTAACATGCAAGTTACAATTTGTTCCTTGTTCCCATTCACCATTGGAGCACACTCACTCTTTTTGCAACTAAATGTGACCAGTCATTGTGTCTAAATGAGAACATTCGTTACTTGAATAAAAGGGCATTAGATCAACAGTATCATTGCATCACTACAGTACAGTTCTCCACATATTTAAGTAGAGCAATGTGTCAAACATGGTGTCACTTTCTCCCTTTTTCATAAATGCTATGCTATGCTGCCACCAGCCACTGCAACCAGTAGTAGTATAGCTTTAATTTTAGTTTGGTTTAAATGTAGAGATGTAGCAGTGACTGTGGGGTTACCCCTTAGCTGGACCCTGAAATGTTTCTTGGTGCAACAATACGTCTCTATGTAAAAGGTTGATTCAACTCCCACGACCAACAACCCTCTGGCCCAACCCCCTATTGATATATATACACTGGTTAGCCATAATATTATGAGCACCTACCATAACCCCTTGAGGCATGGACTCCACTAGACCTCTGAAGGTATGCTGTGGTATATGGCACCAAGTCATCAGTAGCAGATCCTTTAAATCCTGTAGGTTCCAGGGTGGGGCCTCCATCGATTGGATTTGTTTTTCAGCATATCCCACAGATACTAGATTGAACTGAGATCTGGAGAATTTAGAGGTAAAGTCAATATCTTAAACTTGTTTTCTTCCTCATATTATTCTTGAAATTATCAGACCAGGCCACCTTTCATTGCTCCATGGTCCAGATCAGCTCATGGAGTTCATGTCTGTTCATGCTCACGTGACCATTGTAGGTGTTTTTGGCTGTGAGTCAGCAATGGCACTCTGACTGGTCTGAGGCTATGCAGCCACTAAAGCTACAAGCTGCGATGCACTGTACGTTCTGATACCTTTTTGTCGGAACCAGCATTAACTTTCTCAGCAATTTGAAGTACAGTGGCACCTATTGGATCAGACTACACAGGCCAGCTTTTGCTCCCCACGTATATCAATGAGCCTTGGCCACTCATGACCCTGTCACCAGTTTTCCTTCCTTGGACCACTTTTGGTAGGTGCTGACTGCTGCAAACTGGGAACATCCCACAAGTGCTGCAGTTTTAGAGTTTCTCTGACCCAGTCGTCTAGCCTTTACAATTTGGCTCTTTTCAAAGTCGCTAAAATACTTACATGTGTCCATTTTTCTGTTTTCAACACATCAACTTTAGGGTTCATATCCTGCCCAATATATTCTACCCACTTTCAGGTGCCATTGTCATGAGAAAATTTAACATTGTTCACTTTACCTGCCAGTGAGAACCATCCCTCCAAGGTGGTGAGCCTTGGCCACCCATGACACTGTCGGAAGTTTTCCTTCCTTGGACCACTTTTAGTAGGTTCTGACTGCTGCAGACTGTGAACATCCCACAAGTGCTGCAATTTTGGAGAAGCTCTGACCCAGTCATCTAGCCTTTACAATTTGGACCTTGTCAAAGTTTCTCAAATCCTTACTACTGCCCATTTTTTACGGCATTCAACACATCACCTTCAGGAACAACATACTCTCTAAATGCCAGTTTGCTTCACAATTTTTGCATCCAGATGCATTTCTACATGCACATTTTTGATGCATTCTGGTACATTTTCTTCCCCTCTATTTTCTTCATTTAAATTCAGGGACGTGTGTTCTGGGGTGTTTGTGATGTATTCCTGTGAGTTTTTGATGCATTTTGCATGCTTTCCATACAGAAGAAAATACAGCAGGTTCTATTTTTGTTGACTGCACTAGTGTGAACTAGAGCCACTGGAATACATGGAAAACAGCGTGCATGCATTTTTGACAGATTAAAAATAAACTGGACTGCATCTGGTGTGAACCAGCCCTTATATATCACACCCACATTCACATGCCATTGTAACAAGATAATAAATGTTGTTTGCTTTACCTGTCAGTGGTCACAATGTTATGGCAGTGTATATCCCCACCACTGGGAGCTCCACAGAAAAAAAAAAAGGGAAGACACACCGCAGCACAATGCATGCATTACCAGACATTAGCCCCACGAGCACATGAAAATAACATTCTAGGCACGTGCCTGCAAACTCACTACTGTACAAAATTAAGCTGAGATTTTTAAAGACAACTTTATTTACAGCTATGTCTTTATTGGTCATGTATATTGTGTGCTTATTGTTTTGATCTGTACATTCCAGGTGGTAAAGGTATGGGTGGATTAGAAGGTGGAATACGAGTACCAGGGATACTTCGTTGGCCAGGTATTATTCCTACAAATGCCTCTGTTGATAAACCGACAAGTCTAATGGATATATTCACCACTGTAACTAAGCTTGGAGGAGGCACTCTGCCCCAAGACAGGTATGATATTTCAGTAAAGTAATATGTATAATTATTCTGAAAGTGTAATATTAGTATATGTATAATGTGACAATAGTGGGCAAGTGCAGCATGTTGTAAAAGCTGCAAGTATCTGTTATTCTTGAACCTCTTCATGCCTAAGGGTAAAACAGATATTAATGTCTAAGCACAATTTTTCAACTTTGACATGTGTTAGTACAACTGTACATATATCACTACTACCTTGTGCATCCACGTGGATTATACCTTTTTTTTTTTTTCAGGACAAATTGGGCTTTCATTTGGTGGTAAATGGTAATGGCTAGCTCCTGATTTTTTTTTCTTTTAATTACGAAAGGAAAACTGGCCCAAAATAGTGAAAAAAAAATTTTCATTTAGCTGTATATTTGTTACTACCATACCTTACCACCAAAGAACAACCCAAAATAAATTTTCCTGCTCCTGACGATCACAGTGATACCAAATATTTGTACGTTATTTGTTTGTATGCGTAGTACAGTCCAGAAACAATTGTGCACATTTTTGCCTTTTTTTTTTTTATCCTACTTAAAACACACTGACACTAACTGACACTGATAATAATTTAGCCACTTGCCAACCGCGCTATAGCCGAATGACGGCTGCAGCATGGTTGTCCAGTTCTGGGAGGGCATCATATGATGTCCTCCCATATGGGTACAATGTTGCATGACCGCTCAATTGTCATTCAAAGTGCAACAATGCTGAAAGGTGAAACTTGGCCTGGGCACGAAGGGGGTAAAAATGCCCAGTAGGCAAGTGGTTAAAAAAAGTGTGAGGTCTTTTTTTTTTATTTTTTAATCTTTAATCTGGCCCAATATATACTGACCCTGACCTTTGACCCTTACTTGACCCAAGCACTGACCTAGATCGATTAATTTTTATATTTCTATTAATTTATTTTTACACACGATTGTTTATCTCTCTCTACATGCATAGAGAGATACAATTCATCTTTTCTCTCCATTCACAAAAAGAGAACACAGGGGCGGGCTTCACAGTGACTGATCACTGTGATGGCCAATCAGAAGCTATCACAGCGATCAGGTAACCCAAAACTGGGAGTTCCAGGCCCCGGTCATTAGTACGGGACCCAGTGCTCCCGGTGAGACCCTGTTTTCTGTTCTGGGAGTACGCATATATGTGTACTGTCAGCATCAAGGGGTTAAATTATTTCCCTGTGTCCGTGTAAAACCTCCTGTACCCAGTTCCTGTCATTCAGCTGTCAAATGTGGGTCTCTACTGCCCACTAAAGTTCTGACACTTTCCAAGGGAATGATGAGGATGGAGGGGCAGGGGCTAATTTCAATTTGGGCAGACACTGAGGTTCTTTGTACAGCCTCATCCTACGATCCTAGGGGTTCCACAAAAGCACAGGGGTTTTGGGCACAGAAAATTTACTTTAAATATGTTCATCAATAGCCACAAAAAATATGAATCCACTTTGTGTGCATCAAAGGCCTCTGCAAACCCAGATATATAAAAATAACAGTGAACTCATCGCAGTGCTACACATAGCTTGTACAGAGAGCAGAACTGTGGGAGGGATCTGACAGGCTCCATTCACTACAGACTGCCTGCAGAAAAAATACAGGAGGGGGCGGGGACAAGACCAGTCCCTCGGCACAAGGAGAGAGAACAGCAGTGAGCAGTCTTTACAGGAAGTTCCAAAGGCAAGGTTTCACACTAGGTTAATGCACAGATCTGGAAGACAGACACAAAGCACACCAAGATACAACCAAGAATACACATTGCTCTTGTACTTAGACAATATCTGCTTATCCCAAAATTCAGTTTTAAGGACATGTTCTTGTTTATGGTAGTGCGTGCTTATTTTGGTAGAAGTGAACTATTGTTTTCTTGGTTCTAGGATCATTGATGGAAAGGATCTAATGCCTCTTATGCAGGGAACTGCACCTAATTCTGAACATGAGTTCATGTTTCATTATTGTGATGACTACTTGCATTCAGTACGATGGCAAGACACAAGCAGTAAGTAAAATACAATATATACTGTAGTTTAAAGAAAAGTAACTTCTTATCCATAATTCAGAGGTATGCACTGGATGATTTGCCTTTTACCCTCCCCTTATGTCAAGTAAACAGAGCTTTACCATCTATGGCTATGTCCTATAAATGCATGCAGGATCAGCTCCAAGAGTTCCTTACCTGGAATACATCACATTTAAGCATCTACAAAGAGGACCTTCTGTAAGCCTTTTTTCATGAGCTGTGCACATGAGCATTGCATTAACAAGTGCCAAATATGGAAGGCATGTGTATTACAGGACTCCTCCCCAGGTGGAAGTTTGGCCATATTAGGATAGTTGAAGATAGGAAGGAGGGAGGAACAGTACAATCACAGACCTTTGAATGCTGCCTGTTAGCGATGGTAGGTTCACTAGAAAGGGTATGGAGGGTGTAGAAAGTAGGACTTGTTTATTAAAAAAAAAAAAAAAAAATATCTGAAGCAAAAATTCTTTTGAGGTTATCCATTGCCCTAAGAAAATGAACCGAAAGGAATGTGCTCAATGTTGCTTTACCAAGTGCAGAACCTCCCAACTCCATCAAGAACCATCATATATTTTTTTTTACATAAGGAATAGTCTAGCGATATTGGTTATTTAAGAAAAGAATAATCCTGTACTTGGTTCACCTTTAATTATCAGGGACTGCAGCACATGAATCACATTTGGGTAATATGTGTAAAATAAATAAAAAAACAAACACCAGTGAGATGTCTCTTCTGGCTTACCAGATATATAACCATCATATAAGTTAAATTATAGTGCAATCAATAAATATAATCACATAAGCATTATTACAAATACCATATAAAGATGTGCAAAACAAAAAGAACTGAAAGTTCATATAGAAAGTCCCAAATCCATACTCTCCATGTGAGTTAGTGAAAATAAGACGGCACCCCCCAGGAAATAAGCTGTGTCGCAGGATCACACCACTGTAAAGGGTTATGAAGCTCCTTACCAAATAGTTGTATCTCACAAAGAGATTATAAAGCACCTGCACCAGCAGTCACTTTAAACATTGATTCCCTTGGGACAGAAATCTTTCCACCTTCCTTTTTAGTAGACACAGATGGATGGTGTAGAGGGATCTGTGAGTGCTCAACCACTACACAGCCACAGACAGCCCTGATCCTCCCGCATAGAAACCACTTCCTCTTTTTTTGATGCAGACACTCCATACCAAAAATTAAAACATAGAGGGGACTCCATAGCATAATACCATAAAAACAGGCTTTTTTATGGGAAGTAAGTTACACCCTTCCAGCCATACACTTTTGTTATAGAGAGTCTGCATCTAAAAAGGAAGTGTTGTCTATCACTGTGTAGTGGCGGAGCACTCACAGATCCCTCTGCTCCATCCATTTGTGTCTACTGAGAGGGAGGTGGAAGGATTTCTGTCTTGGGTGATCAATGTTTAAAGTGGCTGCTGGGCAGCAAGGAGGTTTATGATCTCTTTGCGGGATCCAACTCTTGGCAAGGAGGTTCATAACCCTTTACGGTGGTGTGATACTGGGACACAGCTTCCTTCCTCGGGTGCCTTCCTATTTTCACTAACTCACATGGAGAGTATGGATTTGAGACTTTCTATAAACTTTCAGTTCTTTTTTTTTTTTTGCACATCTTTATCTGGTATTTGTATTAGCTAGAGGAGACAGCACACACTGGTGTTTTGTTTTTTATTTACAAATATTAGTCATTAGAATGGCCCTAAGGCGTAAGGAGATCAAGTTGTTGGCAGCCACAAGAGAGTAATACCCATGTGTTGGTTCTGCTAAAAGCACAGAGTGTAGACATTCAAGTGAGCATCCAATGTAATAAGGGAGATAACAGAAAAAAAGAATATGGCAATAAGCATGAATTCCTGGTAGCTGCCCAAGGGATTCCTGGCTAACAGCAGAATGTAAGCAAAGGAGATTTACATAAAATGTTTAAAAGACTCTTTGGGTCTGATATGGACTTTAAGGTGGACCACACGGCAAAAAAAAAAAATGGCATGCATTCCCCCCCAAAATGATACAAGGCCACATGTCATCAACATGGGGGGGGACAGCCCCCCCAGCAAAGTGATTGTACAGCAGGTCCACATCAATCATGATGAACGATGATTTCCAACCCCCCTAAAAAAGCCATCAGACACTTAACCACTTTTATTGCACGAGATTCCTCTTAAAATCCATATCACACCCAAAAGGCCTGGATTGAGGGGGACCCCCACACTTGTTTTTTTCACTGACGGGCTCCCTTTGTTTACATTCTGCTGTCAGTGAACCCCTGCCTGACAGCAGGGACACGTTTCTGGTTGTTAGGACACCAGCCAGTGCCAGCTCCTTAACAACTTGACATGTAACTCAAAAGATGCACCAAAAACGCACTGCGGTGCATTTTACATCCTTTTTGTTTCTTTTTTTTGCATTTCCATTGACTGTCACACACTGTCATCAAAAAAGGATGAGCTTTAACACCCTCATGCTGTACATATGCGTCACTGGGCGGCTGATGTTTCTGTGGTGAAACCATACTCACTGTGTGCTCTCAACATAGTTGGGACCAAAAGCTGTCCTTGACAGCTTGGTCTCTAACTATTGGTAGCTAGTGGAACCGGCTTCCTCTCATGATCGCCAATACTTCCAGGCATCTGGATACTTATAAAGTAGAACAGTAGGTGGATGAATCACCTCCATCTTTCAGCACTTAGGAGTCAACTATACAGTCTGTCTACAAATGGTACACACTTTTTCCTAGGCGTCAACTATACAGTTTGTCTACAAATGGTGCACACTTTTTTCCTAGGCAGTACAACAATTGGTGGAGACATAGTTTGCTAAGCAAATGTTTCGTAACTACTTACCATCCAAAGTGCATATATAAATGGCCTGGAACTCAAGTGGTAAAAAGCTGTGAGTTTGGTGCTACAACAAAATGGCACCCATCTCCACACTACCTCGGTAAATAGTAAGCTCCACTTAGCAAAAAATAGCTTCAGCTTGTTCTCCTACCCATGGGAGAACCCGTCTAACACATTTCACCCAGTAGGGGCCTGATTGTATCTACGATTAAGCCCCTGGTTGGTGAAGCATGTTAGAGGCATTCCCCCATGGGTAGGAGACCAAGCTGAAACCATTTTTTACTAAGAGAGGACTAATTTTACTATTTACCAAGGCAGTGTGGAGACAGATTGAATACTGGTTCATCAAAAACATTTGAGGTCTACAACAAAATGGCACCTAACCATCACCTGCAAACATTGTGGCTAATCGACTGTGATAAGAGATTGGAGTATTTGAGCGGTATCATTTTTATTTGGTTTTTGATGAACTTGGTAATGTTCTCTTCTGTTGGCTAAGTTACCTAGTAAAAGTGATCTGGCAGGCTATATTACTGTGAAGGTGCCAGTTAGTTAACATACTTTAAATTTGGGTCCTCAGAATAAACAGTGATTATTGCTAGTGGCTGCAGGCACTGGAAATAATCGCATGTAAAAATCTGACATGCTGGTTGTAGCCAAGTTGATCAATGGATGGACTTTGCTATAGTCCATCCTGTATATACCCAGCCTGTCCATAGATGATTCGAATCTCATCCGGTCCCTGCTGATCTAGCTGAGATTCAAACATCTATGGCCGGCTAAAGTCTTTTGCTTGAGCTGTAACAGTATACATAGCGAACAGTTACAAAGGACGTGCAAAGCTTTCAGAAAGAATAAAGCTGATTTAAGATTTTTGTATTAATAATGCGATCTAATGTTTCTTTGTATTTGTCAATAGGTAATACCACTTGGAAAGTCCACTATATTTCTCCATCATTCTCAGAAGGAGAAAATGCATGTTATGGTTCAAAGGTTTGTTCTTGCAGCGGAGAAAATGTTGTTCACCACGTTCCCCCATTACTTTACAACCTTTCCAATGATCCTTTTGAGGGGAATCCTCTGCCCAACAACTCAGTGTTCTATAGAGACGTCATACAGAAAACCCAGCTAGCTGTAGCACATCATAACTCAACATTGTATCCAGTACCACAACAGCTCTATGGGCTAAAAAATACTTGGGACCCCAGACTTCAACTGTGCTGTGGAACCTTTCCATTCTGTTGGTGCAGCAAAGAAAGCAAAAGCTAGATATAGCAATAAAAGTGAATTATTCGCATAGCAGATAAAATTACAAACTGATTTGTAAAAATTTAATTTTTTTTTTTTACTACCACATGCTGTTATTTCATGTTCTGCTGTGTTGGTGAAACATATTAAAGTGGAAGAAAACCCTAACTATAACTATTCTTAATAATGAGCCCTCCCCCTCCTAACTATCCTGCCTAACCTGTGAAAAACAATTGTGTACTTACCTATTTTGAATCTGCTCCAGTCTGGTTTATGTGATCCTGCAGTTCTGTGTAAGTGAGCACTCAACAGCAGTTGGTATTTCGGGAACCCCTCCTCTTCTCTGCAGCAGCTGATCACTGACACAGGGGAGTCAGAGTTGCAGGATCATGTAATTGAACTGGAGCAGATTAAAAATGGGTAATTACACACATTTTATACAGACTAGGTAGGTTAGGTACAAGTAGGGGAGAGAGCACCATCTTTTAAGAATATTTATAGTTTGGCTTTTCTTCCACTTTAAGTGGTTGGTCTTATTACAATGGCAGAACATTTTTTTTAAAGATGGATCCATTTATTGTCAATTTGGTAACAGAGTCCTTAATAAACTAAATTTCATATTGAAATGTTCAACCACTGGGGAAAATACAATTTTAATGCTTCTTTCTTTTTTATTAATTGTATTCCAATTTTTTTGTAGTCAAAATGACTTGGGCAGTGTTTCATACATTTGTAAATCGCTTGGAATTAGTTAAACAAAAGTGTTTCACTTGATAATAGGCACTAATTAAAATGCAAGCATCCAGAGATGTTCTGGAGTAACAGCCTGCTAAAACACGCCAGTGAGCATTCTGTTGTACTGACCTTCACCCATTGGAGCATACTGTGTAAGCTGTGATTTGCAACTTGTAGGGCTTTGAGAGAACTGCTGTACCACTAGTATTTAGAAGCTAACTGTGCATGTTGTGTTTCTATGGTCCAGTCTGGATTATATTGGATACAAGTTTACTACACAGCGCACACTGGTAGTATCGTTCCTGCAATTTCATAGATCAGATCTTATTTGTGCTGATCTGATAATCCCATGTGCTAGTTAATGTCATTGCTACTGTTAATCTATTTATATAGATACGTATTGGGTATCTAGTTTACTCTCACTACCAGGTTTGGTGCCTGTTTCCTTGACACAGCGCTGCCACGGGATAATAAAGCAGAACTCCAGAATCCTGCTAAGTGCACATTTTTAGATCCCTCTCCCTAGGCTTGATTTAAAGGATAAACAGTAAAAACGTGCATTTATTATTTTTGTCTGCAGGAGCCTGTAAAGCATTGCACCAGTGATCAGTAGATCGCTGGTGCCATGCAGATCTCAGTATATCTGCTTGCCTGTACGGGATGTACAACCAAGCAGATAGATATACTGACAGGAAGATTCAATGAACTACCACGGTACTCCCACAGCGCTGTGGTAGTTCATTGAAAACTACAAACTGACAGCTGCTAAGGCTGTTGGAACTTGTAGTACATTCATTTTCAGAACTCTATGATTGAATGTTGCGGCCTGTCAAATCTGACAGTTAGTACAGGGGAACGTCTCCTCGTACTTTTGTCAAAGGGAGGGGGGAGCAGGGGACGGCAGCTGCAGCATTGGGAACAATTTACATGTTCCACCCTAAAAACAGATGTAACATGTTCCCTAAGGTGAACTTATCCTTTTATAACTGGTAACTCAAAATATATATAATAGCTTTCTTTTTATAAAATTCTAGGTTTTCTGTCCCAGCAACATCATCCTGTTCCTTGAAAATAAATGCTGTTTCCATGCACAGGGAGAACCTGCACTCTTGCTGCACATCACATCCCTGAGGATAAATGGCACTACATTTCCCATGATGCAAAGGGAAATAAGGGAAGTTAAATGTGTGTGTGTGTGGGTAGTGCATATCTAAGGTGTTCTGTCTTGAATGCATAAAGTGAAGGGGGTGTGTGTGTGTGGGTGGAGATATGCTAAGGTGCTCTATCTTGAATACAAAAAGTGAAGAGTTTGGGGGTGGAGCGATACTAAAGTGCTCTATCTTGCATACATGCAGATGCCCATAATGTAAATTGAACAACTTGGCGGTTCAGACCAGGAGTCTAAGACTCTCAGGTCCACCTACTGCAGCGAGAGGTGATGAAATTGCATCACCCCTTGTTGAAAGAGAACTACAGCAGGGATGTTACAAGACTGGTAGCTGGGTCAATAGAGACCATAGCAGCCGCCGGTCTTACAAAACAGAAATTACAAGGAATGAAGCCTGTCATTTTAAATAATGCACCATCATAGTTTCTTACAATACAGATTGAGAAGAGAAATGGACTACATTTCTGCTTAAGGTAGGAAAGTACCATCAACAAAAGGGAAAAAAAAAAAGCTTCTGCCTGGAGTTCAGCTTTAAGTATTACTTTGTGAGTTTCTGTGATATTGTATGTTTGTACACTCAATTTAGGCAGGTGCAGTCTACTTTCTCCGCTGCAGGTGGTGCTCTTCTACAGCTAGAAAGGAAGTCAAGAGGTTCCTCTGATTTCCTGGATCACTGGGGAAGCACCCCAATTGGATGCTGCTACCCCCATGTGACTTCGGTGGCCATCTTGGGTCAGGCAGAGCCAATTTAAGGCCCTGTTTCCCAGGGTCAGCACACTTTTTTTGAGCCGGCAGTGTGGGGAAAAGGTACCCTGCCTGTTAGGGACTGTGCTAGAAGTAGGGAAATGAGGTGAGGAGAGAAAGCGTAGTGACGCAACTCCTTTGGACATCTTCTTGTTTGGACATGAGATTACCAGGATGAATTCCACTCCCCTAACAGACACTGTCAACCTGGCTGATATCTGTCATCTTCATGTTGTTGGAAACAGTGAGTGTACCCGGTTGGGCAGGCATCCTTCAGGTTGTTGTGAACTATGCTGCACCCCACCTATAAACCAGGTGTGTCCGAGGGGTTAAGGTTCTTTAGAAGGTTGAAGGAAAGAACAAGAGGACCCACCTTATCCTGTGGGGGTAGCGCTACATTGAATTAATATAGTAATATGTTGTTACGATCAGCTCTGAGGGCCAGTTCACACTATCATGCGTGCGTGTTCCAGTGCGGGGTGTTTTTTGACAGCCTATTCATTGAGTGGGCTGCAAACAGCACTGGACAATGGAAAAAGTAAAGCTTGAACTACTTTTTCATAACCGTGAACAAAACCACACGGCATTGCAGTACCATGTGATTTGATGCCCGCAACTTCACTGCATTTATGATCTGCATTTGTGGTGCCATTAACAATACATTGGCACCCACATGCAGATTGCAAGGGCAATGCTTTCACCTGCACGCACTAAACATGCATTTCCAGCTCTGCGTTGTGGTGTGAACTGCCACTAAAGCACTTTTCAGGTATACAATTCAATATTTCAATATTCAACAGGTTTGCTAGTTTTAACACCCCTTTCAACAGCATTATACAAATTAGAGGCTACGCCACCTGTAATTTTAAAGTGTATTTATCACAAAGAAAATGTTACCTGTTGAAAAGTTCCTGTCCAGAGCTGCTCTGAATTAAATGGATGAGAATGTTCTCCGTTTAGACTGTAAGTGGTGTATGAGGTAGAATGAAATCTATGAGGCTGCTTGTTTAAACAAGAGGGAAATTTATATGTATTATAAAAATTAAACACACACTAGAATTGCAGTCCTGAATTGTATGTTAGAATGCCAAGGAATCAATCACATTCCGGGTGTGTCAAGGAGTGGAGAAGATTGTTGGGAAGTGAGGAAAAAAGTACTTTATTAGCCCACCGCAAATTTTTTTTTTTTACAGCTGACAGAATCCAGCATTGACTAGGACAAATCACAGCATGATGAGCAGCTGGCCTGGTTATCTTATAACATCATTAAGTGTTCTTGCATGGCAAGACCACTTACTGTTATCTCACATACAGTCAGGTCCATAAATATTGGGACATCAACACAATTCTAACTTTTTTGGCTCTATACACCACCACAGTGGATTTGAAATGAAAGGAATAAGATGTGCTTTAACTGCAGACTGTCAGCTTTAATTTGAGGGTATTTACATCCAAATCAGGTGAACGGTGTAGGAATTACAACAGTTTGCATATGTGCCTCCCACTTGTTAAGGGCTCAAAAGTAATGGGACAGAATAATAATCATAAATCAAACTTTCACTTTTTAATACTTGGTTGCAAATCCTTTGCAGTCAATTACAGCCTGAAGTGTGGAACGCATAGACATCACCAGACACTGGGTTTCATCCCTGGTGATGCTCTGCCAGGCCTCTACTGCAACTGTCTTCAGTTTCTGCTTGTTCTTGGGGCATTTTCCCTTCAGTTTTGTCTTCAGCAAGTGAAATGCATGCTCAATCGGATTCAGGTCAGGTGATTGACTTGGCCATTGCATAACATTCCACTTCTTTCCCTTAAAAAACTCTTTGGTTGCTTTTGCAGTATGCTTGGGTCATTGTCCATCTGCACTGTGAAGCAGCGTCCAATGAGTTCTGAAGCATTTGGCTGAATATGAGCAGATAATATTGCCCGAAACACTTCAGAATTCATCCTGCTGCTTTTGTCAGCAGTCACATCATCAATAAATACAAGAGAACCAGTTCCATTGGCAGCCATACATGCCCACGCCATGACACTACCACCACCATGCTTCACTGACGAGGTGGTATGCTTAGGATCATGAGCATTTCCTTTCCTTCTCCATACTCTTCTCTTCCCATCACTCTGGTACAAGTTGATCTCGGTCTCATCTGTCCATAGGATGTTGTTCCAGAACTGTGAAGGCTTTTTTAGATGTTGTTCGGCAAACTCTAATCTGGCCTTCCTGTTTTTGAGGCTCACCAATGGTTTACATCTTGTGGTGAACCCTCTGTATTCACTCTGGTGAAGTCTTCTCTTGATTGTTGACTTTGACACACATACAACTACCTCCTGGAGAGTGTTCTTGATCTGGCCAACTGTTGTGAAGTGTGTTTTC